TCTGAGAGGTGAGAACATCATTATTAGTATTATTACTATTACTAATATTATTATTATTTTAGTTCAAGAAGGCTAGGCCAGGCACTTAGAGGGATAAAAGAAGGTATTTTTACGTACATAATGAAACAGTTTTATCTGAAAGTCTCACTTTCAAACTAAAACTAACACTTTCTTTTGGGAAAACAGTTCTATTTGTGCTATAGTCATCAACTTTCACTTAAAAGAATGTGAACTAATTATTTAATACTGGTTTATATTAAATGAAGTGCTCAAATTCCTAGTATTTCCCTATTTATACTACATGTATGCTTGCAGGTTTAGCTTGATGTGGCTGCATCTACAGTGATAATAATTGACATTTAATATAACTGACAATTTTTTTCACTTTTTTCTTTTTTTTTTATTAATTACACTTTATTCATTTTGTATCCCCCATAAGCCCCTCCCTCCTCCCCTCCTGATCCCAACCTCCCTCCCCTTTCTGCATACATGCCTCTCCCCAAGTCCATTGATAGGGGAGGTTCTCCTCTCCTTTTTGATCTTAGTCTATCAGTTCTCATCAAAAGTGGCTGCATTGTCCTCTTCTGTGGCCTGGTAAGGCTGCTCCCCCCTCAGGGGGAGGTGATCAAAGAGCAGGTCAATCAGATTATGTCAGAGGTAGTCCCTCTTCCCATTACTATGTAACCCACTTGGACATTGAACTGCCATGGGCTACATCTGTGCAGGGGTTCTAGGTTATCTCCATGGATAGTCCTTGGTTGGAGTATGAGTCTCTGGGAAGTTCCCTGTGTTCAAATTTTCTTGTTCTGTTGCTCTCCTTATGGAGTTCCTGACCTCTCCAGTTCTTACTATTTCCCACTTCTTACATAAAATTCCATTCACTCTCCCCGACAGTTGGCCATCAGGCACAATTTTTAATACAGTTTATTTTTACTAGAATCTCACACAAACCCTCAGAGATAATATAACTCACCAATAAGAACATGCTAAATTCAGTCATAAATTTAAGAGTCTAGTTAAACAAGTGTGTGTGTGTGTGTGTGTGTGTGTGTGTGTGTGTTGTGGTACCAAAAATACTAATATTCACTGATTATAACAATTAAATCATGGCATGTCAAAACATTTACAGTTTGAGAGGTTATCTTAGATTTTTTCCCCATGGAGTTATTTCCTGCTAAGAAGCCCATGAGTTCAGAATGGAGACTCCCTCTGATTTTGCAGATCATTGAAAATGACTCAAGACAGAAGGCATGTCTGCTCCCATTAGTGAGCTGTTGATCTTGTACAGTGATAGTCATGTTTTTAGGAATAGGCAAGCTTTGCTGTGCCCTAGGTGACGGCAGCTTGCTATTTGTACTTCGTATGAAAACCAACTGGAAGAGTATGATTGGCCTTTAGCTCAGATCTAGCCTCTGTTATCACAATGAAAAATACCCATGGAAGGGAGCTTTAGGAGATCCTGTTGTTTGGCTATTCTACACATATTTTGGTACTCCGGTAAATCTCTTAGATTTACTCAATTTGCAACAAGCTACTCCTTATAGAGGAGATAATTTCCTGAAATTAACACTAATTTACATCTCGAATTTTCACACACACACATTTAGTTAAATTCTCAGACAATAGTCATTAATGAAAGAGACAAAAAAAAAACTATTTGTATGTCTAGACAACTAAATGGCTATCAATATTAAATTATGTAACTATAGGTCCCTTAACCCTTTGGGCAGGTAATTATTTAAGACCTTTAGCAAATAATTTACATTTATTGAGTTTATACATGAGTTAAATTATCTTACATGCTCTGTATACAGAATATTATATATGTAGTATACATTAATTGTCAACTTACTCAAATGGCATAGAATTAATAAACACATGCCCTCAAAACATAAGTTCTATGGAGCTAAAATTAGGAATGGCAAGGACGAACATTTTTAACAAAGATGTGCAAAAACAAAACGGTTTTATTTTAAAACTGAAAGCAAACAGGTACGGAGTGAACCATTGCGACCATCGAGGACGTCCTATGCACCTCCACGCCTTTTTATCAGGCTCATAGACTGGAGTCTTTTCATCTCCTCTCTGAGTCTATGTCGGCATTATCAACATGCTGAAATTTTTTATGCAGCTGTTTATATTACTTCAGGGAACATAACTTGTTATTTATGCCAGCTTTGTAATTCCATATGTTTGAAGGCACAAGAGAAGATTGTTTCTATAATTATCAGAGTGGTTTTCTGCTCTTACCAACATAATACAGTTGTTAGCTTGTAGAATACACACTGAAGGTCTGCTTTAAAGTGTTTTCTCAATAAGCTAACAATATGGACAGGTGGTACATGCTATTCTGCACAACAACTTACACTAAAGATCACAATTCACTCAATTTTTAAAAACAGTTTTTAGCTTTGTCTCTGATGGAGTGCACTTAGATCCAGTTACCTTTGTTTATACTAAAAATAGGAGCCTTGAAACATTTCATCTATCTAAACCTTCCAGACTAAAAATAATTTAGTGAAGGTAAGATTGATGGGTTATGCTTGTCAAAACATTGAGTGTAATTATTTTTTAGAAAACTAATTTAGTTACTTAAAATCCTAAACAAATCTTTCTTATCTAACTGATCACGCTCATCCATCCTTATACAATAATATTTCAGATTTTCTTCATAACTACATTGCCATGACTGATACCAATATACCCATTTTAGAAATGGGTAGGGTAAGGCCAATCAATGAAAATTCTTTTTTTTTTTTTTTCTGAATGTGAATCATGATTACTTAGGAGATAAACAAGAAAGCAGACACGAGGTAAGATGATCAATCCTCACTTAGAAAGACAAATGAGATGTGCATTGGACATATGACAGGAGTCTACAGCAGAAGGAATCTGAAAGACCCTACCAAGCAGCGTTTCAAAACAGATACTAAGACTCATAACCAAACCTTCGGGAGAAGGGGAGTTAGTATGACAGGGAAAGGATAGGAGCCCCACAAGGACCAAATATATCTGGGCACAGGGGTTTTCTCTGAAACTGTTTCTCCAACCAAAGACCATGTATGAATATAACCTAGAACTTTTACTCAGACGAAGCTCGTGGTAGCTCAATAACCAATTGGTTTCCCATAGTAAGGGGAACAGGGACTATCTCTGAAAGGAACTCAATGGCAGGCTCTTTGACTCCCCACCCCCCAAGGGAGGAGCAGTTCTGCTAGGCCACAGAGGAGGACTTCGCAGCCAGCCCTGAAGATACCTGATAAAACAGGGTCAGTCGAAAGGGGAGGAGGTCCTCCCCAATCCGTGGACTTCGAAAGGGGCAGGGAGAAGCTGAGGGAGGGAGGGTGGGATTGGGAGGGAATAAGGGAATGGGATACAGCTGGGATACAGAGTTAATAAAATGTAAATAATAATAATAATAATAATAATAATAATAATGATGATGATGATGATGATGATGATGATGATGATGATGATGAAAAAAAGGAACAAAAAAAGATAATTCTTATATAAGGATGGGCCCAGAATCAAATGTGCATGAGGGAAGGGAACAGTGAGGACAAATGACACTAACATGGCAAACAAAATGTTCTTTTGTTAGAGCAGCTTCATTACACAATACCTCATATACTAGATGTATCCTCACTCTTTGGCTCCCTCATACGGAAAGTTGATGCCTTCACCACAAATCCTGCTACTGACACTAAGCTCTATTCTTACTTGAAATACATGTAGACTGTGATTTGCTTTCCATCCCCAGATTTCTTCTTAAACCACAGCAATTTCGTGCTCCTTCCCAGGGGTGTAAAGAATAAAATTGTGAGTCTTTCAGACTCACAAAAAGATCAAATGAGGTTGACATTCTGTCACCTCCTTCTAGCCCTGACACTGTAACGCAGGATATTATGTCTTCTCCATCTCCTTAGAGCCACATTTCGACGTCTGTCTGTCTGTGTCATTTTTCTCTCTTGCCTTCCCACCTGCTCCTCTTCCTTCTTCCCCTTTCCCTTCCCTCCCTCTCTCCATTGTTGCTCCCTCTTTTTCTCCCTTACTTCTTTCAATCCTCCTCTAACTCTCTACCTGACCCAGTCATGATTTGCTGTTTAATATGGACCCCAAGTACAGTTATGAAATGTTACTAATGTTCCCAAGGTCAGAAATATTATGAAATTTCAAAACACACATAATTACTTCATTCAGATATGAATTAAAATCAGGTGGTTCTGAATTCAGTAAGGAGGAGGTAATATTATGAAATAAGGTGTTTTTCAATAGAAATACAATAAAATAAAATGATGTATTAGCACCTTATGAAATGCTGTGCCTAGACATTTGTAGAAACCTGACCCGGTATTTACTCTGGGAGCCATGCTTTAATATCTGCTAACTTATCATTTGCAGATGCTTTTTAGAACATAACTATAGTTTCAGTGTCTTTTAGAATAGTGTGTTTACAGAAATAGATTTCTTACTCTTGAATTAGAATTTCATTTTTTTAATAATTTTACTGGCTCTAATAAGCCTTTTCAAGGGTTTATCCATTCTCTTCTAGACCACTTTATTAGATTTCTGTTGTTGTTATAAAACATGACTACAAATATAGTTGCTTGCATATACTATTTTACTGAATTATGGTTTGGAGGTCAGAAGTACAAAATGGGATTTACTGGGCTAACAAAGTTGTTATCAGGATTACTTGCATTCTGAATCCACAACTTGCCTTTTTCAGCTGCATGGCTAATGCCCTCCATCTCCTCAATCCCTGTTTCTATCAACACATATTCTCTAGCTCTTCTGCCTTAACATTTGTAATTGAAGATGCAGCTTCTAGCACCGTAAATTTTGTACCTCCTGCCCAAATTCATATAAGTATAATAACACTCCAAAATAGGAGACATTTTTCTTCCCATGCTGCAAGACTTGCTGACTAATTTCAACCTAGAGGAATCACAGGATCTTCTCTTTGTGATGAGTTTTCTGTTGTCTATTTCCGTTTTCAGTCTCAGGATCCAAGGCAAACCATTTGTATGCCCAGGGAAGAATTTATACAGAAGATGACAGAGACTGTGGGCTGGGGCACAAAGGAAGAATATGGAGAACTCTTTGACAAAGTGGATGTGGCCCGGGCTGGCTTAGTTGACTGGGACAAGCTGACTTCATTTATACTGCTATCACTTTACGAGAGAGATGAAAGAGCCAAGGCAACAGTGATTCCCCAATGGAAGGACCTGGAATTCCTCCCAGGAAAACACAAGGATACCATCCAGAAAGTAGTTTTCTTAAAAAGTTCCAGTCGTTACTTGACTATTAGCAAAGAAGGCTTGCTAGGAATCTGGGGAGAGAACTTAAAGTTGCAAGAAACAGTTCCTATCACTTCAGATGCCACCAAACTCAAATACCTGTGGGTGACAAGCTTAGTTTCTCTGGAAAATGTTAACAAGGTACAAAATGTTTATAAACACACTTTCTACCTATGGAAACAAAAAAGAACAGAAAATGGTAGGATAGAGCTCCTGGCCAGTATCAAGTATGACATGAGCAGTGACAGAGAGCCTCATCCATCTTTGGTGCATCTCATTTTACCTGGAGGAGACATGAGCAGAAGTACTCGCTTTCCAAAGCCTTTCTCTTGGGTGTCTTAAAACGACATCACAGATAATCACTCATGTCTTTTTCATTTTGAATATGATTAACTTTCAATATCATTAGGGATAGATGATACTGGTGGATGTAGGAATAAAATAGGAAAGAAAGGATGCTCAAATGCCTTTCAAGGTTAAAGAATTTTGTTTTGTATTGGGGAAAGCCTGATGTTGGTTTAAGCCTGATTTTGTACTTTTTTAAGATTTATTTATTTTATTATGTATCCCATGTTCTGCAAGCATGTACACCAGAACTCCAGAAGTGGGCACCAGATCTCATTATACATTATTCTAAGCCACCACGTGGTTGCAGGGAATTGAGCTCAGGCCTTCTGGAAGAGCAACCAGCGGTCTTAACCTCTGAGCCGTCTCTCCAGCCCCAAGCCTGATGTTGGAATTTATGCTACTATACATACTTTTATAACACTGCTAAAGGCTTTCAGAAAATAACTTTGGAAATTTATTTTCATGTCTGCTTTGTATACCAATTTCACTAAATCCACCAAATATCCTTTGGTTTTTCTGTCTGGCTACTCTAGATAGCAGTGGCTTTTACAAGCAAAGAGATTTGTTTCTATGATCTACTGTCTAAAGAGGAATTTCCTTGTCAATACAAACTACAAGGCCTGAAAGGAGCTCCCATCTGCATGGATTATTGGTATGATCCTCTTGATCCCAAAGAATCCATTCTTTCTTTTGGGGATATAACTGGAAAGGTAAGTGAGGGGGAAGATAAGACTTCACAATAAGGATTTAATCCTCAAACTGTAGCTCAAATTCAAATGCCTTGAGTATGACCTTCTGTGTTACAAAATATAAGGTTATAGCCATTAGACCTGGAAGAGATGGGTAATACTACAATTCCACCTTTTACTTATAAAATACAAACCTTTATTATGATCTTCTGGTCTGTACGTAGTCATTTTTTTTTCTAATTTAAATGCTTACAAACTTTACATTATGAAATAATTCATTAGATCCCAATATTAATAAATATTTATCATTAAATGTCTGAGTTTACTTTCCATGGGCCTTTAAAATTAATTGTTTTGAAATGGGGGATGTCCTTTGTCAGCTGGCTAAGAGAGTACTTATGTTTTGTATCACATAACAAAAGTGTAGAGGCATCAAAGATAGTAATACTGAACTTGTGATATTGGATACAGTTACTTCTCCTTTTATGAAATTGCACCCTGGATGAGAGTAATCATTACTTACTCAATGACATTGAAGTGTGACCGACACTGAAAAGGCTTTAGCAATCGATTCTCTTTCACTACTGTGGAATGCACCTGTTCTTATTCTTTTCAGTGGCAAGTCCTTCTTATAATGAAAAGCTATGCTTGGAAACCACTTTGCCAACTCTATTGTTGTTCTTCTACTGTCACTGATTACAAGGTTTAAGTAATATTGGAGAAGATTTTCTTAACTCATGATCCATTCCTTGTTAATCTTAAAGGACATAGAACTGTCGAACAGCAGTTACACTGCCTATGCTTTCTTCTTTTTTAATGGTACAAGGTTCAAGCAATTGCCTTCACAGCAGCCATGATTTCCCTTTTTGAACGACCTGCTAATGCATGTGATGATGAAGAAGCCACCATGACCATTGACTGGGCAGAGTTGCTCTCTGGATGTCACAAATGTTGTCACGTATTACAGCATACATTTCATCATGGATACTGGGTCAGGCAAGGTACTGAATTTGAACGGTAACTGGAGAAACAGCCATTTTCTTCTACATTTATATTTGTTATTGAAAAATGTTTCACCTTGAATGTTTACACACAGAAACCAATAATTGGTTCTCAGGTGGTTTTGGCCTAGACTCACTTTATCTCCTGAATGCTAGCAGGAATTACTTCTTTTATTCTAAAATATATGTTTCATCCAATTAATTCAGGTGAACTATGCACTCAGAAATCTCAGAAAAAGAAAATAAAAAACAGAAAATAGCTGAATAGAATTTATTCAGCTTCAATTTCATTCTGATCCTAACCTGTGTCAATTATTCAAACACTGCTTAGTGAAAGAATGTAGTGAATTCCTCAACAGTGCTTTTTTTTTTTTTTTAACATTTTTGTGTTCTTATGAGAAACATTAGTTGTCTTTTTTATGGTGTAATTTTCTTTTCTTCTCTTTCTGTATTTTTTAACCTTTTGATTAATTTTACTAACAATTTATTTTGTTTATTATAGCAATCAATTTTATTATTTTTGTTGTGTATGCATATATTTTTAATTTTTAAAACATTTTATAATAAAGGTCACTTCATACCCATTTTTTCCCTTTTTCTCCTTTGTTTTCTTCTTTCTTTCTTTAGAGGAAGTTCTTCATACCTCTCAGGCTGGCATTGGTCATGAGGTTCTTCTCTCTCCACCTCCAAATTATAGATAAGCTATCTCAGACTCTTTCTGCATCTTTCTCTCTCTCTTCTCACTTTCCTTTTAAGCCCTCCCACCTTCCCTCCTTTCCGCTATCACTCCTTTCCTCCCTTTTGATATCATGTCTGAGTTCTTCTTGTCTAGAGTGAATGAGTAGCATTCATTCAATGAGTTGGGAAAAAGAAAACTGGATATTTTCGGATCATCTCCTATTGTGACATGCACAAAATTGTGTGTCAAATTTTTGTAACACCAAAATTAGAATCAGTGTACTGGAAATGAACTGAAGTAAGATATAGAAGCTGCTTTTGAATTCAGTGCTATGTGTTCACTTATAAACGAAAGAATAAACTATGAACAGAAAACAGTAGGATAATTCTTCCTCAGTTTCATTTAAATCTCTTAAAAATCAGTGTTAATAGCACAGGATACTGTCTCTGAGTCATTTGTCTTTTTGTTTACTGTATGAGACTGTTCTTTAGGTCAGGGTAAATTTGCTTCTAAACATATTTTTACCATTTCATTTTCACCTGTTGATAAACAGTACAGAATTAAGTCAGAGTAGAGAATGTATCTATGACCTAAAATATCCAGTGTGAGAATATACCTTTTAAAATTACTGTAAACTAGGAACTAGCTACATAAAAGTATCTGCATATAGCCATGTGCCGTGGTGCACAGCTGTAATTCCAGTACTCAGGAAGGCAGAGTCAGGCAGATCTCTGTGAGTTTGAGGCCACCCTGGTCTACAAATCAAGTTCAGGACAGCCAAGGCAATACAGAGAAACCCTGTCTCTAAAAACAAAACAAAACAAAACAACTCTCCTAAAAAAGTATATGCATATGTGTGTACATATATATGTATATATATATATTAACGGTATAAATGCTGATATACAATTATGTATATACTAGTGATATATGATATAAATACTAATGATAAATATGTAATGATTATATATATGTATGTGTGCGTGTATGTGTGTGTATTAGGGTTCTGTAGAGTAAGAACCAATAAAATGTGTGTACATGTATGAATATAAATATGTATGTACATATCTATATACATAGATATGTACACACATATGTATCCAATAAACATAATTTTCACACTGAAGGGGCTGAGTATTGGTAGCCGATCAGTACAGGAGGTCAATGCCGAAGCACTTTTAGCCTGGTACAGAGGGTTCCCGGAGAGCTGGTAGTCTTTTTTCCAGGGTTCCAGTGTCAGTGAAGGGCAGTACAATGGTAGCAACAGGTGAGACGAGCATGCCAACAGGTAGAAAAACTCACAGTGACATATAAAGGCAAACAAGAAAAGCAAGGAAGCTTCCCTGAGATCTTATTCTATCTTCTTATCTAGTTGACACCTACATTCAGGATGGGTATTTCCCTTTTCTTCTTCTTTTGTTTTTGTTTCTGTTTTTTCAAAACAGGGATTTTCTGTGTGTCCTTGGCTGTCCTGGACATGTTTTGTAGAACAGGCTGGTCTTGAACTCACAGAAATCCACCTGCCTTTGCCTCCCCAAGTGCTGGGACTAATGCTGTGGGCCACCATGCTTGTCTGTGTATTTCCCTTTCAGTGAAGGTAATAAAGAAAATTCCTCATAGACACACATAGTAATCAATATGGCTTAGATAATCACGCTCATATATGCCCAGAGGCTTGTATTAAGGGGTATTCTAGGTCTTGTCAAGTTGGTAATAAATATTAAACATCACGTATCTATCTATCTATCTATCTATCTATCTATCTATCTATCTATCTATCT